GTATTCATATGATCTCAAACACTATTCCAACAATAATGAATAATATTCTAAACATAATACAATGATTAATAAATTGTAAGATTTTCAAATAATAGAAATTTTATATTTAAAGAATATAATTCAAATGGTTTACAGGATTTACTGTCCATTGATTGTTTTTCTTAGAAAATTGTTTTTTTTCTACAGAAAGTATAATTTTTGCTGCTGAGGATTTATTGTCCATTGATTGAATAACTTTTTTTTTCAATTAGCGTTTTTCCCGTTTGAGGATTTACTGTCCGTTGATTGCCTCGAAGAATAGAAATGAACAGAAAAATATTTATCGCAATCAACTATGTATATTTAGAAAAAAAAAAGAATTCAAACAAATATATGAGGAAATAACAAAGCGAATAAGGAATTGATTAATAAATAAATCAAAAAAGATGAATGGACGTTCAACTTTTTGGTGGACGCTGAAAATATCTAAGTCCAGCAGCTTTTAAGAATGATGGAATATCGATAACCGAGGTAGCATAATTGTCGTTTACCATGGGTAGATTCAATAAATATAGCAGACATTTCTAGGAAGAGTATGATAAGAAAATTATATTCTTTGAATTTATATATATTTTGTATAAATTTTTGTCATATTAATGCCTATTTTACTCCCCAATTTGATGAGCATCCCTCATTTTAAATTGAAAATTTATTCAATAGTTCGCTCATTGGTGACTTTTTTGTTTTTCAACATTTATGTAATTTTTTGTTCAAAAAAAGGATTGATTGTCAAGACCATTACTCATTTATTAATTTCTCTTCTTCGAAGCAATTAATGGACAGTAAATCCTCAACTAAAAAATACACTAATTGAAATATTCTATTTTTTCAATCAATGGACAGTAAATCCTCATACAAAAATAGCGTTAATTGGAATAAAATTTTTCCAATCAATGGACAGTAAATCCGTGGACAGTAAATCCGCGGACAGTAAATCGTGTACACGAATTCAAATACATGGCGATAATAACTCTATTAATCTTGTTGTGTATATTATGTTTGATTGTATGTTGACATGACATTTGTATGAATGAGCTATGTTCCGAATTCGCTTGTTGGCCACGAACATGTATAAAAAGTGGCCATACAATAGCTTATTTGTTGCTAAGCGCAGTCTCTTTCCTTTCAGCTATTTTTCTCAATCGTCTTCCTAGCAAATGCTAGGAAGACGATTGAGAAAGATAGATGACAGGAAAGAAACCGCTCTTAGTAACAAATAAGCTATTATATGGCCACTTTTTATGCATTTTCGTGGCCAACAATCGAATTCGGAACATGGCTCATTGACGATTTAATATATGTTATAGAAAAATAAACTTATATTACGTTTATTCATTGTGAAGTAAGTTATTCAAAAATTTTCTCCTTGATTTATTTTAGAAACGTAATTGAAATTCTTCATACTGTGAACTAGAAGAAATAGAAAATTTTACTATTTTAAAAAATTCTATGAAATTTAGGTATATATTACAATTCATTCGCTTTGATTTGCAGTACAAATTTAGTAACAAATATGTTTGTTTTCGAGAAAAAAACATCGATTCTGTTGTAAAGTGATTTTATTCATATACTCATTATGAAAATATTACGAAACCTCTGTCATAATAGTTCCTTTTTAATTTTTTCGTAGTCAGAACTTATAAGGTCATACGTTCTGCAGCGTCATTGTTAGCACATTATGTAGCAACATTATTATATGCTCATTTATTGAAATAAATGATTACATTGCACCAATAATAAAATATTTTTAAGTCCTCAACGATGACAGAAATGTACACACGTAAATGTATCCAAATTCTGATAAGCCTATGCAATTCTACAAGGCTCCAGAGATGGGCAAGTGAAGTCATTTTTTGACTTGAGAAATTTTTTCTAATTTCTTGACTTGACTTGAGAAATTTTTAGATGACTTGACTTGATTTTTGACTTGGCCTTCAAAATCAAATCACAAGTAAAAAAAATGGACATATTTTTGCAATTTATGCGTCTAATTCTTATCTACACTAAAAGTACCTATGAGAGCAGAAGCAAAGAAAAAGAAATTCTTCCATGTACTTCAGATAAGCGGCAACCAGATGAGAATATATAGTCACTTTTTTGATTTGACTTGGAAAGGGTTGTGACTTGATTGGACTTGATTCAATCATTTTTTTGGCGATTAATGGCTTGACTTGACGTGATCTGAACCTTAAAAAGCCTCTGACTTGCCTATTTCTGTAAGGCCCCCTCAAAAACTGATCTCAGCCCACAAAAGTTCAAATGACATGAAATTATCAGCCTGATACCATGGTGTTTAAGGGAGATATTGACCCGATAAGGATCATCAACAGTTCATTTGATAGCCCAAATTTCTCTACCGAGGTTCATTCTATATATATTTAACTTGTTTTGTTGTTTGAAAAAGCATGTAAGGATGCAGGACACCACAGAGTCCTTTCTTTAAATTCTTACTTTGTAAGCGAAAAGAAGGAATCACAAGTTCAGTGGCTTGAAAAACCTCGAAAAAATGATCGTTTTCCATAGTGGTGTTTTCTCAGATTCTTATAAAAAGAAGGACTCTGTAATGTCCTGTATCTTGACGTGCTCTTTCCAACAAAAAAAAATATACACACATCACATGAACTTGGACTGAGAGATTTGGGTTGCGCATTCGACATATCATGAACTGAGAAAAAATGAAAAAGATTTTCGGTTTTTTTTTTCAAAACCAACTGGTTGTTCGAATAGGAGGTGACGGAAATCTTCAAAAGTTTTTGGAAGAAAATGGGATGCCGAGTAAAAACTTTAGTCGTTTATGAGAGATCAGATCACGAGCGATTTCCCCATGCATTTATCTTAATTTTGATCATTGTAACAAAAAGTGACTTTTTTTCAGAAGGGAGACGTTAGCAGTCTGTATCAGTATTTTACCCAGATTTTCCTCTTTCAAAGAGGAGTTTAAAGTTACAAGAGAGCAAGTACCTATTTCTGAAAGTAGGAACTACAGTTCAACGAGTTCGAATATTACCCAGAACTAAAGTCACGGTTCCGGTTGTTAAAAATGAGGAAAAAAAACAGTCCAGGTTTAATTTCCAAAAGACCACATAGAACCGAATTCATTAAATTATTAGATAGAATGCGAAAATTTTAAATGTATATCCTGTGAAAAAGTGTTCTTGCCTCTTCTTTCATTCTTTTCGTATAGAACCCTATTGGTCCCAAGTGAATATCCGTTACAAAGGTGGCTTAAGTACTTTATTGTAGTTTAATGTATGATTGATGACAATTTACTTCAATGAAGCATATACATTTTTTTCAATAGAATTGAGCAACAGTAAAAACGAGTTGATTGATAAAATATTTTAAGACTGAGCTATCTCTTTTGTATAATATTTGCTAACTAGTTCACTCGTTTGAATCATAAAACTGTCTTCGTCATTGATTCGAGGCTCTTCCCAAAATGTGATACCGACGGCGATACATATACAGATGAAATATAACTGATAAAACATTTAAAAAACATCTGAAGAAAATGAGATAAACAAGTTATAAAGTATTCTATTAACTAACTGATTTTGAGAGTTGACCGATTATATTGAATGATGTACACTGCTTATTGAAGTAAGTCGTAGTTAAATGAGGATGAGTGAAGAAGAAGACTTTTGTCTATAAATATGTTTGAAGAGATTTTAACTATTCAATTGTTAAGTTTCAAGATACCACATATTTTAGTAATCAAGAAAAATAATCTTATGTACGTACACTAAAATCTTAAATCTCAAGAATGAAAAAAATGACGATTTATCGACATAGATTTAAGAATTGTCGTATCTATCTGATGATTTAATGGTTCAAGCCCAGTTCTTGGTTTCAGGTTTTTGAAACCGTCGAGTTTTAATACAAACATCATGGTACATAGCACAGTATCAACAGGCTCCGAGAGAGCCAACACATTCTTTGAAGAGGCACGCTTCCTAGGTCATACTTAGAGCCCAATCAGTCCCTTCGTACCTTAAAACCGATCGTTTTCACTGTTTTCTGTATTGTTGATTTTGGAACACTAAAGCTGGCCTAGTACGCTCGTTTTTAATGATTTTCATGGTTTTAATGAGGAACAGATATGAGCCTGGAAGTTTTCAAATGACAAATTTTCAGTCGTTATCAAAATCTCAGCTCGAAATATTGAGCTATTACTTTCTCATCATACAATGAGAGCATCGAATCATGCTGAATGAATTTATCATGCTCTCGATAAGTTAGCCACAGATCAAAAGTTAATTTCATCTACAAACAATAGTATCCTTTTACGAATATGAAACGTCTTTCAGCTGTGTTAAATAGGCTAAGATAGAAGTTATTACTATTTGAAACTCAAAGTGTTATATAAATTTTATATTGTATATGTTGGCATAAAACTGATTGCTTAGTCGATATCATCAACACATCGATTTTTCCTCGCTTCAGTCAAAAATGTCAACCGAACGGTTCTAAATATAACTATAAAAACCACTATTATGATGAATAAATCAAATAAAATATCTAATACTTTGAATCAATCAATGAACAGTTCAATGAACATTTTTTTTAGGAGACACAGTTTTGATTAATGTTTTCTTATTATATAATCTATAAAGCTTTAAAAATCTGATTAAATAATCTAATATTAATGAAAATTATCGCATTCTACGAACGTATTGTATTTCCAATAGATGTCTCCAGGAATCATGATTTAATCATCTTATTTTCTGATTTGTCTGTAAACGCCTAGAATAAAATAAATATTGCATTTATTCACGTATGACTCAAAGTTTTTGTTCCATTGAAAATACGAACTTGTGTTATTTCCATCTCAAAGTTTCAACAAGTTTACGATAAACATATTTGATGCAATAACTTGCAATATTCTTCCTTTTTAAATACTCATCTACGTCATATCTTCATTTAGATACCAAAACTCTTATTACAAAAAAAAGAAAAAAACCATGTCAAAACGCGGTACACAAAGAACTCGTGGAAATTTAAAAGTATGTATTATTTTCTTTATTTATATTTATCAATTTTTGAATCTTCTGTTCTTTTTTTCAGCCAACAAGTAGCACAAAAGCTACTGCTACTCTTTTAACTCATGGAATATCTCCATTTGCATTTTCTTCTGGTAAATATTTCTTAATAAAAATCTGAAAAAAAAAATAATAAGATTAAATATTTAATTTAAATAGGTGAATCACCTATATCAAATGGAATCGATGAAAATAATATTGAAAATGATATAGATTCAGATTTACGTGTTATATTACGTAAATTAACGAAAAAAGATTCAACAACAAAAATTCGAGTAAAACAACGAAAAAAAAACTTCTTCAAATATCGATTCTTTTTTTCTCGAAAGGCGTTTAATGAATTACGTGATTATTGTGATGCTAATGAATCTGATGATAAAATTCGAGTTATTCTTCCATTTTTTGTTTCACATTATCGTAAATGGTCAACGGTAATGAAAAACAAAAATTCAAAAACAATCGTCTATCGTTTTTTATATTTATTTATTTATATACATAGGATTCTGATCAACGTGTTCGTGATGAATGTCAATCAACATTTGATACAATAGGTATGCGTATGAAAAAAAATTTATCACCACATTTAAAAACAATCTTACCAATATGGTTAATGTCACAATGTGATTCATATGCACCAGCAGCATCAAAAGCTAAATTTCTTTATTCGAAATTATTTAATGGACAAAATAAGCAAGCCGAAGCTGTTTATTTTGCAAGAAATGAAATAATGTCAACATTAACTGATGAAATTAATCAATGTTCAGATGTTCTTAAAGACAAGTAAGAATAAAAATAAATTTCGAGCAATTTATATAGAAGGAAAATTTTTAATTTTTAGAAAAGAAAATGAAATGGAAACCGACGATGCACATGAAAGACGTCTAACACAAGTTCTTCTAGCTCTTGCATTATTTCTTAATTATTTAGAAGCTAATAAACGTTCAGACTTAACAAATCATTTTAAGATTATATTTGATTCTGGAAAATTTTGGAAATTAGATAAAATTAAATCAATACAAGTAACTTTACTTTCATTATGAAAAATAAACATAATACTTTTAAAAATGTTTTTCTTTTCTTTTCTTTTTTTTAAATAGATTCAAAGTTCATTTTATCGTTGTCTTTATGAATTAATTAATCTAATACCTGATGTTATACGTGAATATAAACCTAAAATTATTCCACTTGTTTTCTATGCTATTAATGAAACAGAACCAAAATTATGTCCATTAATATGGGATTGTTTAATACTTTGTTTAGATACATTTGATGATTGTTGGTCATTAGTTAATTATCAAAAAGCATTTCTACCAAAATTATATGCTTTTATTAGACATGCTTGTCATGGTAATGTATTTGGTGTTAAAGATTGTTTATTACCTTTAATTGAAAAAATTCCAAAAATAGTTATTGATGATAATGTTAATTATCATTTTGTTGAGAATTTTTTTCAATCGATGGAAGAAGGGTATGTTTTATATTTAAGTAAAAACATTTCAAAAAACGATTAAGATTTTTTTTTTTTTTTTTCTTATAGGATTTTATCGATTAAAGGCAGACAACAAATGAATAATGTTAGTTCATTATTAAAAGCTTATATGGATTGTTTACTTTATATATTAGAACATCATTCAACAGATCAACTTGGTTTTCTTAACGAAAGAGTAAGAAGAGAAATAGAAAGAGAAATTTTTCCTAGTTTAAGTTTTTTTTTGTTCTAGTTACTTCCATTAATACGTCGTTTACTCACTGATAAAGATTGTTCAATTCGAACTGTTTATGCTCGTCAATATGTTCATTTCTTAAGTTCTATTCAATCATTTCGTCTCTATTGTGATCATTTAAATAATGTTCTTTCATTATTTCATGATTTAATAAATCCATCATCATCATTATCAATAATAAATGAAACAAATGATTTAAAATATATATTTGAACAATCAGCAATACTTTTTGAAACAATACTTTCTCCACCAAAATTAAAAAATTTACGTTTTGCTGCAACAACAAGAATAACATCATCATCAACAGATCTTTCATCAATTGATTCAACAACATTTCAAGTTGAAGATGATAATGAAATAGATAATAATAATCAAAAAGAAATTTATCTTATTCAATTTGCTACTAATTTATGTCAATATTGTTTTGAATTTTGTACAAAATATTCAAATCATACATCATTTGAACATGGTTTAAATTTATTTACACGTCTTTTAAATCCTTCAACATCAAATAATATTGAAATAATTAAAAAATTAACTAATGAAATCGATAATACAAATACTATACCGGAAATATTCTATTTAAATTATGCAAAACCATTAATAAAAATTGCTATTGAACAACATTGTTCACTTGATTATATTGTTGAATTAACTATTCAAATATTAAATACATTTGATTCATCAGATATTGTTGTTGAACGTGTTCTAGCTGATTTAATGCAAGTAAGACAAAAACAATAAAATGTTGTTTTGTTTTTTACCTAAGATCTTTCACTGAAAACAACTTGAGTATCAGTATGTGTTATCAAAAGTTTCTATATCATTCTATTGTAGATTTTGGATCATTACATCAAGCTAAAGATATCTTCGCATAATATAAATATGAAATTTTATATTTTTATTTTTCAAATATTAATTGTTTAATTAGTTTCTCTGAATTATCTTTATCCAGATCAATTATTCAATATTTAAGAATAGAACTTTAATTGAGAATATATGCAATGGAAACAAGTTAGATCACTTCAGTATATGTTGTTAGAAAGTTTGACCAGATTCGTTGGTTCTGATCTATCCTGATGCAAAAAAAATTAATCAATTGGAAAACATATTTCTCAATTGAAATTTCAAATTATTTTGAGTGAATTTTGTTTTTATCATCTAAATCATAGATATGTCGAGCTTTTTTTTTTCTATTTCGTTATTGCTAAAAAAATTACAACAAGCATATTTTTAAACAAAATATTAAGCCTATGAAGACTAATTTTTATCTATTTTGTTAACATGATTATTAATGAGTGTTGAAATCTATTTTTTCCTTCAGAATTACGTTTCACACACTATATCAGAAATTAACAAGTTCAATTTGAAAAGTTTTCTGATCCAAACTGATCTGTTCAAATAACTTTTGTTTTTTGCCTGAAAAACATTTCCGAATATAACAAACTTTCTAAAAATATATTTTCTCAAAAGAGAACAAAATTTTTCAGACAGCTGAATTGCAAATACGAAACTGTTCGATCTAGAAATATGCGGAACGAAATTTTAGCAGTTTGTTGAGATTGAAACCACACAAAAGTGAAGTTGTTAAGACCAAGATTTCGAATGAAAAGTTATCTCAACTGAAACTAAACAGTATAGTTAAAAATTCTATGATTTTTTAGTTAAATCATATCTATTCGAATATAATTTAAGAGAGATGACCAAAAAAATATTAGTCATTGATTAAATAAATCGAAAAAAAAAGAGTATTGAAGATGTAATACAAATAAATTCTGGATAAATTTTCTCTTGACCAAGACGGGAATCATTATAAAATAAGCTACAGGCATTTCGACCAAAACAAAATCTTATCCTATATATTGCTAGTTGAAACATATTAATTCTTATCAGAAGAACTGCATAAACTAATCATTTCGAATAGTTTCTTTGCGTTCATTTGATCTAAACATTGAATTAGGAGCTGACCGAACTCTATGCTATATTTATCACAATTTAAACACAATTATTTTCATCAATGATTAATTTTAATAAAAAAATTTTTTTATTTTTTTATTAGCTTGAATCATCACGTCGATTTTATTTCTTATTGACTTCAATTGTTTGTCGTTATGAATCTTCACCATCATTTCATACATGGTAAATATATTTTTAAATGAATATTTTTCTTATTATCAATTATTTAGGCTTCAAACACATGGTGTACTTGAACAATTATTAAATATGACAGCAAGTGTAACAAAATCAAGTGAAAATAATGATTTAAATTTTCCTGTTTCAACTGAAGAATTTCAATTATTATCATCATTACTTTGTTCATCAAAACCAACACAATTTTTAACATCTATACAACAAGAACAAATTGTTTATTTAGCATGTCGTTTATTAGAACAACAAACACCAACATTAAATGAATCTGATACACAACATGATTTAATACAAAGTATTGATCATGTTGCTAAACATTTATTTCAAAATATAGATAAAACATATGAAAATCAATCAACAAAAAATTTATTTCAACTTTATTTACATAATGATATAAATAATTTAATACGAAAAAATTATGATTTAAGTCTTCATCAACGTTCAATATGGTTAATTGCACTTAAACAATCACATATAATACAAAATGATTTATATAATCAATTAATTAATTGTATTCTTTCATATATAACAACACAATCTGATAATGATTTATTTATTGATATGATAATAACAATATGTCAAGATGAAAATGTTTTATCTAAAAAATTCTATCATATATTATATCAACGTATTTATTTAGATGATAATTATTTATATGAATCATGGATATATGGTATATATCATGGTTGGTTATTACCTGATCAAACAATTAATATAAAAATTCAAAATAAAAAATTTTTAGAATATGAACGTTTAATTGATGTACAATTTATATGTTTATTAATAATACGACAATATGAATTAAATTCATTTTTATGGTTAAATAATGATTTAATTAAAAATTTAATACTTAATTATTATTTATTTCAATATCGTTGTATTGATACAAAACAATTATATATATTATTTGAACGTTTATTTCATATATCAACATTTAATATTGAATTTAATTTTATTGAAAAATCTTTATTATCAAATGATTTTTATAATGATTTAATTTATTATCATATTTATTGTCAAATAAAAGATAAATATATAAATATAAATCAACGTGATGATTTAATACAATATACATTTATATTAAATAATAATGATGAATTAAATACACATTTAATATTAGCATCATTTTTTCGTGAATCACAATCAAAATTAATTATACCATATTTAATTGAACAATGTCAAGATGAAAGACGTTCAGAATTAACATTAGCTGCATTAAATCAATCATTAATACGTATGAATAAATTAGGTTTAATTTTAGATGAAAATTATTTAAATAATATATTAAATATATTAATAAAATTAAATATATCATCAAAAGAAATTTTACAATTAATACAATTATGGAATACATTATTAAATCATGGTACATTTGTTTATACATTAAAACAAAATCATTGGGATAATATTTTATGTTTAATAAGTAATTTATTTTTAAATTTAACAAATGTTAAACAACAAATTAATCAACAATTTACATTACGAACTGAATTTTTATTTATTCATGCTTCAAATTTATTAACAACTATTGGAAAACTTTTAACAAATAATAATAATAATAATAATAATGATAAACAGGATGAAACAGATACATTTCAAAAACAATTATTAGATGAATGGTTATTACTTTATAGTAAAGATATTTATCAAGGTTTATTACCACTTTATATTGCATTACCTAGTGAGTAATGTTATTTTATTTATTTTATTTAATTTCTTTAAAAATGAATTCTTAGGTGCTCTTGCTGAATTTTCATCATTCTATGTAACAAATGAAATGGTAAAATCTATATGTTGTGCAATGTGTACTATTCCAACTGATTATCTTCTGTCAAATAATCTCAAACCATTATTTCATTCTGATGACAATCAATCAACATTATCTGAATCAATTCAAACAGTATTTAATCATTTATATCGTTTACTTTGTTTAGCACCAAATCGTTCATTACAATATTCTGCATATCATTTATTAAATAAACTTCTACCACATATATCACCAACACTTATTCTAACAACAACAAATCATGAAACAATAGCTGAAGATGATAAAATATGTCGTCTACCTGGTTCAATACTTGAAGCATTAGAACGTACTGAAAATACCATAAAACAATTATTAAATGAAAATGATATTGCTGAAGAACATCTATTAGATGATCATGGACATGAAGTTATATCTGAAAGATCACCATCAATAGTTATGACTGATAAAGAACATATTATTATTGGTGAATTATTAAATTATAAATTATTACTTAATTTAATAAATTGTTATTCATCAATTGAACAACGTTATACATATAAATTAATGTTACAAGAAAAAAAATTAGTTGATCGATTTCTTTTAATTGTACTTGGATTAATTCCTGCTAATCCAGTTTATAATGATCCTTTATCTATGCAAGTATCATCTATTACAAAAAAATTAACACATTCAAAATCAATGTTTGAAAATGATATTCAACTTACTCCCAATGGTAAGTTAAGGAAAACATTAAAAACAAAAAAAGAAGTTATATTTATATGAATAAATCCCATTTGAAAATTCATAATTGTAGACTGATCTGAGTTTTTTACCAGAATAGTAAATTCCTTTTGAACAATCATTAAAAATAAAATAGAATATTCTTAAAGAGGTATGGCTACTTTTTTTTTCATGTATACATGGGAGATTATACTAGTTTGTATTATCTATTTAACTCGTGTATGGATTACTTTTTCAAAGTTTGAACCCTTGAGAAATTCATCATCAATTATGTTTGAAGTGATGTTTATTATATCACATTAAGGATATAGTTGCTAGTTTATTTTGATAATTGAATTTTGTTAGAACGATTGGAACTATTGTATTTTCATCGTGGTATGAATAAGCTTTTGAATTTATTGAAGACTATAATATAAGAAAAGTACAAAAACAGAAATAATATAGAATTAGATGTATTAAAGTTCAACATTGTCAAAAGAAAAAAAAACAAGTCTAACAATGATAGAACGAAAAATAAGCTGTTTTTTTAAAATCTCTTTACATATGAGTAAGACATGTTGATCGCATAGGATCGATTGTAGTTTGAGGGTCTTTTTTGCCTTTTCAGATAATACCGATACATGTTTATATTGATCTAGAATATAGACAAATTCATTTGTTTTTCTCTATAGTCGTTTTGTTGGCTGATACTTTTTTAGATACGCGACCTCCTGACATCCACACTCTTTGATATACTCTGTCAGTTCGATCAAGTTATGTACATGGCGTGATCAATCTAGCCTAGAGCCCTTCACCGGGCCCAAAAACGACTTGCTGGACCCGGACAAAGAAATGTCAACCGTTCCATCATTTTTTGTGCTAATACATTATTCAAACGTTCATTTTGTAGGACAATACATTCTCTTTCACCTCATCTATTTAGAGAAGCATTAGAGTCCTTCATAGCTGAAATTTTTTGATAGAAAAAGTCCGGATCCAAACTTGGACTCGCTCGGACCCGAAAAGTTCAGACCCGGAATTTTTCTTTTAAAAACTTTTGACTATCACGAACTTTAATGCTTTTCTAAATAGATCAGATGAAAGAGAATGTATCGCCCTACAAAATGAACGTTTGAATAACGTATTAGCACAAAAAATGATGGAACGGTTAACATTTCTTTGTCCGGGTCCAGCAAGTCATTTTTGGACCCGGTGAAGGGCTCTAATCTAGACTCGACCTACATTATATGGTTAAGTTCGTAGATTTTGCATTAGTTAGTATTTTCCACCAATCACGTGATATGCTAACTTTGTGTTTTGCAATGAATCATAAAACGGTTTTGTAACATATTTCAAATAAAATCTACCCTCTATCAAAGAAACAAATAACAATATAAAATTTTATGATATTGACATTGAAGTAAAGAAATGTGTTTTTATGAGTTTTCTTTAAGCGAACATGACTCATCATTACTGTAGAACAATTCAGTATGTTGAGTAATCTAGTTTTGAATATTTTTCATATTATTACGTTGTTGTTATCAAGGAAAATATTTCAACTGTGTACAGATGTATTTTAATGACTCAATCGTTTATATACATGTTGGAATGTATTGTTTTTTTTTTCTTTCGCAGTTCTATTTTGTTTATCTTCATAGTTATACGTATTACCTTTCTTATGCATTTATCTCTTGTATGAAAGTGTCAGTTCTATCTCTTTCGATCATACTACGAAGTAATTCTTTTTTGGTAGCCTTTTCAGTTTTATTCACGTATAGTTTGACATTTTTTTGGCAACATATTGTTCTTTTTTTAGGGTAGTTAGTCAAGAGTTAATATAAATGAAAATTGACAACTTAAACAAGTGACTGAATATGAGATAGTCTTTTACATTTTTAATGCTTTTATCGAAACTTTTTATTTCGATGTAGAACAAGAAAAAACATTAGCTATGAATATAATAACGAATGTTTAGTGAACTCTTCTAATTGAGTTAGAAGTAGCTATTTTGAAGCATTTTCCATAGTTCTATATAGGCTTTCCCTATTTTAAAGCTTCTGTCTATTGTGATTTTCGCTAATATGACAATACATATAGTTTTCAATTTTTTTTGTATCGAATCCCATTGATCTCGAATGAATTTTGGTTATAAGAACGCCTTAAATACTGTATTTTACTGTAGTGTATTAGTTAGTGTTGCTGAACTCTATTGCAAAAATAACATATATTCTTCATTGAATAAAAATCTCATCAATCATACACTATATTCCAATAACATATTTAAGCCATTCTTCTAACTAATATTAACATAAGACCAATGAAAAAATTTAAAAAAAAACAGTAAAATTTCAACTGTGGTATATATATATATCGTTAAAATATTTTTTAGGTGATCTGACATCAACTTATACAATTCCACATTTGGCGTGTTCTGTTTATTTTCAATGTTTAAGTTTAATTCCAGGACTTGTTCGTGAATGGTTTCAAAGTCAAACAAAACGTATACGTGATGCTGTTGATCGTGTAACACAAAAATATGTTAGTCCCATATTAATTCAACAAGAACTTGATACAGCATCAACATTAAAAGATATAAATGTTGGTGAAACAGGTTTATTTACAGTTAAAAAACATTCAAATACACGTGAAATAACAGCTATTTATAATATTGAAACATCACGTGTTGAAATATGTATACGTTTACCAATGAATTATCCATTAAGTATAGCATCTATTGAATGTACACATCATGTTGGTTTTACAAAAGAACAATGGAATAAATGGATGCTTCAATTAAAAACAAATTTAATTCAAAGTGTAAATAAAATTTTGAAAAATAAAAATTTTTCATTTTTTCTTTTTGTCTTTTATATTTAGAATGGCAGTATAGCTGATGGTTTATTAAATTGGAAACAAAATATTGATAAAACAATGCAAGGTATTGAAGAATGTTCAATATGTTATTGTATTTTACATACAAATAATGAATTACCTAAACGAACATGTCGAACATGTAAAAAGAAATTTCATGATGCTTGTTTGGTAAGTTTACATAGAAAATATTATTTTGATAACAAACAAACAAAAAAAAAAAACCATCGAATTTTTCTTTTAGTTTCGTTGGTTTCGTTCATCAAATAAATCTACATGCCCACATTGTCGAGCAAACTTTTAAATTTCTTTTTCTGTTTTCTTTTTGTTTCGTTATTTTTAAATTCTATTATTTGTTTTGTTTGTTTTTCTTTTCTTTTGATATAAATGTGTTATATCGAATATATTCTATTGATATACAAACGAAACGAATATTCTTTAGTTATAGATTTATTATGCCAACAAGTATAGCTAAAGAAGTTGCAGCTCACGCTGCAGTTAATGAAAATATTCGTAATGTAGGTAGAAAACAAAATTAAATTAAAAAAAAATATTTTATATAATAAAGATTGTTTTTTTTTTCTTAGAATATACATATTATTGGTATTGGATCAGGCTCCACAATTATTCCAGCAGTACAAAAAATTGGTATGGTATTGAAAACAAAACAAAAAATGTTTTTGATTGATAATTGATTTCTTTAAAATTTCTAGCGGAAATCGTCCATAAAGACAACCTTGATTTAATTTGTATTCCGACTTCATTACAAGTTTGTGCTCAGCTTGAAGAACTTAATAGATAATTCAAAAAAATTGATTCTTTTTCATTGGTCATCTATTATTGAAATTGATGAGACTACCATAATCTTAAAACTATTGAGTAGTTCTAAGAAAAAAGAACCGTGTAAGATGTAGAGCATGGATAAATAATATTTGTTTTTCGATGCTTTTCCTTTAAATAAGAAAGGATTTGCTTGTTTTTTTTGTTTTTGAGCATTGACTTGGCTATTATTTATTGATCACGTTCTCTGCACTATATTTGATACGATGATAAATCTATGATAAAATACAATTGTCTTTTCTAGGCTCGTGAACTTATTCTCTCCAATGGTTTAAAATTGGGTAGTCTTGCTGAATATCAAGAGGTTAGTTTATATATGAGTTTTTGTTGCTATTTAACTTTGCTTTTGTTTTATATTCAAGCTTGATCTTGCAATTGATGGTGCTGATGAAATAGATGCTCAATTTAATTGTATAAAAGGTGGTGGTGGATGTCAAACACAAGAGAAACTGGTTGCTTTTTGTGCAAAAAAATTTATTGTTGTTGCTGATGAAAAGTAGAAAAATTTAAAATATATTAATTAATATAGAAAAATCTTTTTTATTTTTTCGTTAATAGAAAATGGTCAACAAGTTTAGGTGACAAATGGCAAAAAGGCATTCCAATTGAAGTTATGCAAATAGCATATAAAGTAACAAAAAGAGAAATTGAAAAGCAACTTGGTGGTGAAGTTATTGTTCGTGAAGGTACAGAAAAAGTGGTATGTTTGAATAAAAACAAGTTAGATATTGAAAAAAAAACCAACACGAAGAAATTTCTAGGGTCCAGTATTAACTGATCAAGGAAATTTTATTCTCGATTGGAAATTTGATGCATCAAAAATTTCAAATTGGTTAGATGTTAATCGAATATTGAAAATGATTCCTGGTACAATAAATTTTATTTTGTAAATTATTAGTTCTATTTGTTCGATTTTATTTTATAGGTGTTGTTGAAACAGGTTTATTTGTGAACATGATCTATAAAGCATATTTGGGTAGTAATGAAGGCAAAGTTGAAGTTAAAACAAATCCTGCAATACCTTCATAACTCTTCTCTTTGTGTTTTTTTTCTCTTTTTCTTCTTTTGTTTTGAAATGCTATTCTAGCTTCTACTTTTCAGATACGATTTTATTTGTAATGACTGAATATCAACTTCAAAATCCACCGACAGATGGAATTACATCAGTACATTTTTCTCCAAATAATCAAAGTCAATTTTTAATCGCTTCGTCATGGGATAGTTCTGTTCGGTAAATATTCAATCGTATTAAAGAAATCATTCATGCAAATATGTTGCAAAATTTATATCACTCTTTTTTCAAGCATGATTCACGAGAACTAGATAATTGATTTTGTATCTTTCAATATAATTTTCTTATCATATCTAATCTAAGAATAATTTTTGTACTACTTAACATTAAATTTACTAAAATTCGATATCAAGAAAAGAAATTCTTTCACTGCTTGTTTTGAAATCATAGAATAAAAAGCTAAGTATTTATATCTTTTATTTAGTTTATATGACGTTAATCAACATACATTCCGTCATATGTATAAACATGCAGGTCCTGTACTGGATTGTTGTTTTCCGGTATGACGTTTCTTTTTAAAGAATAATTCTTGTATTACAATTTTTTTTTAAAGGATGCTTCACGAGCACTTAGTGGTGGTTTAGATCGTATTTTAAAACTGTATGATTTTAATACACAAAAAGGTATAGATTATTTTTGTTTTTTATTAATTCAAGAAAAAAAATAAAAATTTTAACTTTAAGAAACTTTGATGGGATATCATGATAATGCAATTCGATGTGTACATTATTCACCTGAAGTAAATATCATAATCACCGGTTCATGGGATGCAACCATTAAATTATGGGATTCACGTGTACCTAATTGTCTTGGTTCTTGTTCATTACCTGATAAAGTAAATTTAATAAATTTTAGTTTCTTTTTCTTTTCATTGAATATTATTTTTTTTTCTATAGGTTTATACATTAGATAGTGTTGGTGAATTACTTGTTGTTGGAACAGCACAGCGTAAAGTATCAATTTGGGATTTACGCAAAACAAATAATCAAACTCCAATTGAAAATCGTGAATCAAATTTAAAATATCAAACACGTTGTATTCGTTGTTTTCCAAATAAACAAGGATATGTTCTTAGTTCAATTGAAGGTTTTTATTTAATATAAATTTATATATAAAAACCTTTTATTTTTTATATAGGTCGAGTTGCTGTAGAATTTTTTGATCCAAATCCTGAAATTCAAAAGAAAAAATATGCATTTAAATGTCATCGTTCAAAAGATAATGGTATTGAAAATATCTTTCCTGTTAATGCTATTGCTTTTCATAAACAATATGGAACATTTGCTACTGGTGGTTCCGATGCATTTGTAAATATGTGGGATGGTGCAAATAAAAAACGTTTATGTCAATTTCATCAGTAAAAATTTTTGTTTTTATTTTAATTTTTCAAATGGTTTAATTTCTTTTTGTTGTCTTTTTATAGATATCCAGCTGGTATCACAAGTTTAGCTTTTTCATCTGAAGGAAATATGCTTGCTATAGCATCGTCATATAATTATGAATATGGTGCTGATTTACAATTAGCACCAAATGATGTTACAAAAAATAATATATTTGTCAGACGTGTATCTGATTTAGAAACTAAACCTAAATGATAGAAATAATAAAAAAATAGATAATTATGTTTTCTTTTGTTCTCTCTATTGTTGTTGTTGATATTAATAGAAAAAAGAGACACAAAAAAAAGTGAATATATTATTCTTTAGATGGTTGACGAAACGCTTTTTGATTATCTTCATATGGCTATTGTTGAATTTTATAATAATGAGAACGAAAATGATGCTGAATCGACATCGTTATATTTATCACAAATAGGTAAAAATTTTCATTTTCTGTTTAATGTTGTTTATTCTGTCTTTTGTTTTTTTTTTTGTTGTTGTAAAGGTTATCGAGTGGGTTATTCACTTAGTGAAAGATTATCAAAAGAAAATCCACGTTATCGTGATGAATTAGATACAGTAAAATATCTTTGTAAAGAACTTTGGATTTGTTTATTTAAAAAACAAGTTGATAATCTACGTACAAATCATCAAGGTGTTTATGTAATACATGATGGACGTTTTCGTTTATTACAACAAACACTATTAACAATGAACAAACCTATTGATAATATCAATCAATTACATGCATTGTATATAGCATATTCTACGGGTTTGATAAGAGGAATTTTAACAAATATGGGTTATCCATGTCGTGTAACAGCTGAAATTGTGGATTTTGGTGTAAAATTTCAAATTGAAATAAATTCAACAGTTGGACAAAAATAAATCAAAACAATTTCTTTTCTATAATTATAATGTTTTCCTGTAATTAAATCATTGTTAGTTAAAAAAAGCAATTTGATTATTTAGTAAATATAATAGATCAAATGAATATTTCTTGAATAGTTGCTGCTTTTGCTCGCAAAGATGCTGAAATATTACTGATCTTATTTTCTCTAACCTTGTTGATGGAATAGAACCATTCAACATGAACCGTCGTTATCATAAACAAAATCACTGTTGTCGTTTACAGTATGTTAACGACGAAAATGCGATTACCGTATATAAAATTATGTTGATGTCTAATTGCGACCATATACGATCATTATTCATCTGTAGTGAAAGATGCCGTTTACTGTGTTTGTATAAGATTTCTTTACAGTTAACTCTGGATGATACTATATAATTGTATTCACACTAGAAATATCCATATTGCAGATATAATACTTTGGAGTAGTTCGACTGTTCATAGAAAATACTAAGGAATATTATATATCAAGGTTAAAAACAGAGAGAGAAATGTTTCAGCTATTGATAGTCTAGCAAGAGAGGAAGTATTGAGAGTTGGAAAATATCTTCCGAAGACCAAGACTAAATAGATACACTCTCATCAGGCCTGATGTGTATTATGAAGAAACAACACATCTCAACTGAAGAGAAAACTACATATTTCCTTATAAGCTCAATATTGCTTCCAAGACAGGCTGTCATAAAAAATCGCACATACGCATATTTGTACGTCACGATGGACTGCCTGAAGTCGATCTCAATAAAAGCTATCGATTGATGTATAAAATAGCTCAAAAATATAAATAGAACATAAGTATTAACAGAAAAAAGAGACTTCGACGATACAACGAAGATAATGCAAGACTTTTAACATGAATCAATTTTCAGGAGCAATAAATCATGAAAAACCTCGCAACGTTAAAAAGACTTCAATAAAAGCTATTGTTCATATACCATCCTATAATTACTAAGTGTGTATTTAGACTACTTCTATCTATGATATCTACCGTGTATATCATTTATGATCGTCTTTTTCTGGTCAAAAATTATCATAACTTATTCCTGTACCAAGGTTGTCGTTCCATATGGTTAAATTTTGAAGGAGATTTGTACAATAAATAAGAACTTAAAAAAGGGTGAGAATTCTTAATGAATTATGTTGTTAAAATCGGTCCATGGACGATTTAAAAATCATACAGACTAGATTTTTTACAATCAGTAATAGATGAATCTTGATAATCTTATTTATTTTAGCCAAGGGGAACACACTCGAACAATTTGTTGAAATTAAATTATCATTCACTATTGTTGTTTTTAACATTATTTTTTACTATTGTGATGTACTAATTAACTTTTCTAAATAATTTCATACATCAATCTTAGATGTTATTAGTATTTATTCTTTAACATGACGTAAACCCATCAAAAAGTCTTCATGTCATGCCCAACGCAATGATCAACATAATCTCAATTATCAAATTATTGAGAAGGCGTACACATTTTTCCATATTCTACGTTTATTGCTTTTCTGTATACATAACTTCTTCAGATGAAAAGGTTCGTTGGTTTTTGTCTTCCAAATATTCAGTATGAAGTTTATTCCAATCGCAATACTCTTCTTGCTCAATTGATATAGAAATAACAGCTCCAAACATTCAAAAACCTTGATAAAACGACTTCGGTTATTTTTAAATTAAAAAAAAAAACAGGCATAAAATCTTGTAGTATTAGAAGATATGTATAGAAAATGGACATGTTCATAAACAATATCATTACAATCCATAACATAGTTTAATATAATAAACTATCGTCTTGTTGCTAATTGTAGATGTTAAAACAAACAAAAATATTTTTTTGTCTATTTTTCTTGTGTTCCAATAAGTACATTTGACATTATATTCATTAGTTTATTTTATATATTTCAATATCAAATGCAACATGCAAAATAATAAATTTATTGTTCATTATGAATTACAAAAAACAATATTTTTTGTGTATAAGACCTATTGAATAAGAAAATTATAGAAATATAAATGATTTATTTTAAAATGTCACATCTGAGTGCGCAAATGAGTAATATCCACGCATATTGTCACGCCTGATTGCTGACGTCGATTCAAAGAGTTGATGGTTGTCAATTTTTCGTGACGCAAAAATATGAGTAATACGCCTACATTCGTACTGAATTATTCGGTTCTTATTCATAATATTTTTCAACTCTCGATATTTTAATAACAACACGTTTGAGTATAAAAAGCAGATAGTTTCTTCGTTGATATTCATTTATATTTAAAATACAAGTTATATATATAACAAGTAAGTGTACGCATTAAATCAGAATAGTCAATTTTTTAAAACATATTATTAATTTTAGTTTGATTTAATATAAACAATGGGTTGGAGTAGTGATAATCTTTTTGGCGGATATGGTGGATTCGGTCATCACCACCATCATCATGGTCAGTTTGGTGGATATCCATATGGTGGATTTGGTGGATTTCCCTATGGTGGATATGGTGGAGGATATGGCTATGGAGGCCTTGGCGGCTTTGGTGGCTTTCCATATGGTGGAGGTTATGGATATGGTTGGTAATTGAAAATATTGATATATGTATTTTAATAATTAATTGCTTAAATAAATAAAAAATGTCTTTCATGACTTCATATTAAATAGTTTTGTTATTTTATGAGTCTTCTTTAATCAGATCGTATATACTGAATCGTTGTATGAATTCTAAATTTGAAAGATGTCAAATTTCGATTCAACAAAAAGTAAATCAAGTCCACTAGACATTAGAGCATGCTAATCAATAAACGCAGCAAAATATAACTTAAAAGGCATCGGAGATAACAATTTTTGGATGATCTTTGAGTTTTTATAGATTATTTTTTTAGTGTTTGTGCATATATCAATACTTAAAAGTTCAGTATGGATAGTATTTTGCTTTGTTCACCTTAGCGTTGCATCAGATTCGAGATAGAAAATTGATAAAAAGAAATCAACATGAAACTAAACTTCATTATAAACACATAATTTTATTAAAAGAACATGTCTCGACGACAATGTGGTACACGACTGCAGCACGTTCATAAGAAAATTTTCGGAGTTTCTTTACGAGAATATTGTTCTTACTGCCATTTGATTTCATCAATGTGGTACGCATTCAAATGTATCACAATCGAACAGATATTTCTCATCTATAAAAATATTCAATAAAATCTTGTTATCTTTTACTTAAGACTATACTCTTCCTATGAATTATCTCCTAGAAATTCCAACACACCCGTAGAATGATAAAAAAATATTCTTATCTGAAAAAATATATCTAATTGAATATGCAGATTGACATAAGTTTACATGAAATATGTCCTCTACGTCTGAGTATATATTTTGTTTGCGATGAAATGCAACAGTAGTACTTAGGAACGAATACAAATCACTGTAAAATCACACTTCACCTGTATTCAACCGTTCTGCCGTGAATAATCGTATTCATTGAGATGAGTTAAAGACTAATAAATAAGCTAAAAGTAAACTTCATTTAGAATATATTCTGTCTAAACGAATCACACGTTCACATAAACAGTTAACGTATGTTAATAGTATCGATTAAATCATTATAATTGTCTGTCTCTCAACCTTTTGGCTGTATCAAATCATAAATGAAGCGAATTGTTGATCTTTTATTTCAGAAAAAAATCCTGTTATTGTAAATCGTACCAATTTTTTTCTTGTCTGTGTGCTTCTGTTGTTACAAGGAAGCTCTTGGTTCTAATGATTTGTTCCACTTTCTTTGTAATTGAAGCGTATAATTAATGATTTTTCTTTTATTCTCACCTAAAGTTACAACTACACAGCCCACACCCTCATTAATACCCATCCACATCAGCTAAACCCCGCACATTCTGAAAAAGCACTTACACAAAAGATGCTGTTAGAAAAGTGCCACTATAGAACCTACTTATTTGTCTAAAAAATCAAGCTGTTTGCTAGTACTGAGCATAGGACGAATCCAGACGTGCTTCATTCCAATTGGTTTGTTAGTGGTCGACAAGACCACTGTCCTTACACATTCCATAAAAGTTTGTTGAGAATACTCTTAAATACTATTTTTTTCTTCAGTTAAAGATCAGATAAAAATAAGGTTTTCCGGAGTTGTTTGTGTCGATATGCTGCATGAAAAGTTGATATTGCCTCATACGAGTGCTTTCGATTCAACCCTTATAGGGCATTGTAGGAAAAGGTCATTCAAGTAATTTTTTGTCACATTAATGACTGTTTAGGACGAAGAACAATAGAGAACGATGATCATTTATTAAACTATTTACAGGCAACTTATACGATGCCTTAGGATAATATCCAGACAGCATTTACAGTTGCCGTATTATTACGCTCGGTGTTAATATCAATTTTCTATGATCATTCTCTACGATGATCGTAATACACCGTGAAACTTTATTTACGATCGCTGTAAGCGGTCATCGTAAACAGTTGCGTTTTTCCGTCGCTATTGATTGATATACGGTCGTGTACGATCAAGCACGATTGATCTGAGTAACTGATGTACGGAGATTTACTTACCGTGTTGTTCAATCTGTGACAAGACTCTCTATCATAAATAATAGTATAGTAAAGCTGAAAATTCTTAATCATTCATACCATGAATACCGACCCATGTTTGACTTAAAAATGATCAAAAACAGTTCGTATTAGGATGATTGTTTACAATACAGTATAATGTACCGTTCTTCCAATCAGTGCTTTTCTGATGTTCTTACAAGGATTGTACACTGATTTTAAAAAAGTATCTTAAAATGAAGTTGAAAGACTACAACCGAGTAAAACACACTGGAATGCTTCACTTGAGCAACTTGTTCAGATTCAGATATCATTCATTTTTGTTAATCTAAGACGCCACTTAATTTCTCTAAGCAATTTCATACATCAATCTATATGTTGTATTTAACTTCATTCTGTGATATAGCATGAACCCTACAAAACGTTCTTTGTGTCATGTTACGCGATGTTTAAGAGAACCTTGATCATCAAATTATGAAGAAGAGGATGTGAGTTGTGACTATTGTCTTTACTAATACTTATACCTATACCCGCACCCAAAACTCATGCTATCGTGATGAATTAGGTACAGTCAAATATCTTTGTACAGAACTTTGGATTTGTTCACTTAAAAAACAAGTGGATAATCTTCATACAAGTCATCAAGGTGTTTCTGTATTACATCATTGATGTTTTCATCTGGTATATAAAATAGTTATAACAATGAATACGGTTTATCCATATCGTATAACAATTGAAGTTGTGGATTTTTGTGTAAGATATCAAATTGAAATAAATTCAGAATTTAGACAGAAATAAACCATCGTTAGTTAAACAATTTGGTTTTAGTGAAAGAAATAGATCTAATGAATGTTTTTCAATTAGTAGTTGTATTCAAAGGATGCTGAAAGATTATTAATATTATTCTCTGTAGCTTTGCTAACTGTATAGAATCACTCTATACGAGCCATATATGACACTAAGTACAACGCTTTTCTGATGGTTTACAGTCAACTACACATCGTAGATATGTCGTATTTCATCAGAAACAAACTCACTGTTTTACGCACTTAGTTCTGTTATGTCATAAAAAGTATGTTGACCGCTAAAATAAGATAGTTGTATATGATCATATTGACATCTTACTACTACTGTGCAAAATTATTTCTTGTCTGAAGCGCAGAACACCATTTACTATATTTTGAAAACGGTTTCTCGATGACTAAATGTATAATATCCCATGTATAACTAGTCACATTGCAAAGATCTATGAATATCTGGTTATTTATCCTCAATAGTGGGTTCCCATGTTCATTGCATTCTGTTGTAGTCATAACAGTTTTGACAAGCACGACTGCTTATGAAAACTATTATACATTCGATGTTAAAAAAACCTAAAAACTCAAGTTTTGTGATGTAATGATTGATGTATGGACAGAATAATTTTAGTTTTCAATAGCCTGGCAAGAGAGTGACATCGATAGTTGCAAAATGTCTTTAATCGATTGAAACTAAATAAAAGTAGTCTCGTTAGACCTCGTACATGTTAATAAGAATTCTTTAGCCATTTATCGACTTATCTCCACAGTGATCTCCATGACCGACGGTCCTAAAAATTCACACATATGCACAAATATACATCATAGTTGATTGCTTCAAGTAGATCTCAATAAAAGTGATCGATTGACGTGTACAAAATTTCAAAAACATTCATGGAAACTTAGCATTAACAGAAAAAATATGACTTACAAAGATTTTTAATATAAAGCGATTCTCAAAAACAATAGATCATAAAAAGCTTGGCAATTTGATATAGTAAACTTCAATAAAAGCTATTCTTTGTGTATCATTCTACGTTTATGTTACCGCAAAATCAATCACTTTTCCGATAACTATATTTTTCTTACGTTTCTACGCAGCTCTTACACTGACGTAAATAAATATTTGAAACTACGCTAAAGCAATCTATCACAATCAGTAATAGTTAAATCTTGATGATCTTATCTATCATAGTTAAGTAGAACACACTCGAATTTTTTACTCGAGCGATTTGTTGAGACTAAAATATGATTGCCTTGTGATTTTCTTGAACGTTGTTTTTTGTTAATATGAGATCCCACTTTAATTTTTTTCTAAACCATTTCATCCATTCATTTATAAGTTTTATTGAGATCTCTTCTTTGATATGGCGTGAATCTTGCAAAAAGTTTTCGTGTCATGCCAAGCAATGATTAACATAATCTCGGTTATTAGAGCATCTTGATTTTTTTGCATTTGAAAAATTCATTGCAAAATTTATTTGAGTTCTAATCATCTTGTTCACTTTATGTAGAAATAGCAACTCCTAAAAGTTGGAAATCTTGATAAAAGGACTTCGATTATTCTTAAATTGAAAAAAGTAACAACATTTTAGAGTATCAGAAGATGTATCAAATCGACTTGTAAATAAATAATAGCATCATAATAGATAAGAACGAAGTAATAGAAATACTAAATAATCAAAACGACGACGCAACTATAAAATTAATGATATTTTTTTCGGATTCATGACAATTTCATACGATAAACTGTTCTCTTTTGTCTTCATCCAGATATTAAAGAAAACAACATAAAATGTCGACAACTCAACACTGAAGCAGAACTCTTTTTTGAAAGCTTCGTCTGTCATAGTGGATAGACCACCTCATCAAGTTACCTTTCAGAATATTGCTTTTGACATATATTAGGTTAAAAGAAATCATGATTTTACTAGCCATACAGTTATGGAAGAAAAATATGCAACTATTTTAAAAAATATCGTTTGATTATTGAGAAAAATTGATTTTTAGTTTATACGAAAGAAAAAAAAACATAAACACAGGTTTCTATTCTAGAACTTTGACCATCAAAATTTGAGTTTGAGAAAGAAATGATTATCACGGTCTGAATCAACGGATAAATCTACATCGAACAGTAAACTCAATAATCAAAAATAATTGTCGTTAAATTTCGTTCATGGGGGATCATGAATCAGCGTTTTGATAAATAAGTGAAGT